GAGTTTAGAAAGTGCTGTATTTGAATATCAAAGGGAAAACATAACAGCAAGTCACAGCGTTCGAAACTAAAATGGTTAAACGAAGCGTAGTAAGGCATCCAAGCAGAAAGTCCTGATTAGCTGTCATAAGTTAAGCATTTATAACTAGAGTTGGACAAGTCTCGCACCAGCTAGGCAGCAGCAAGCCGCTGGTTTACTCCCTGCGCTTCTGACAGCTGCCATGGCAACGAGATCAAAGCCTCTTCACTGCTTCTGAAAGAAGGCAACTAGTTAAAACGGAATACAATACTCTATCAACCACAACACTTAATGCGATTCTAACGCTTAATAAGAGCTCTAGTCGTTCATTTTCATGGTTTCATTTCTTATCTTATCCGATAAGCCGTGAGCATGTCAAGCCTCTGTTACTAACAAGCTCTTGTTTGGCATCCCGCTGGGCAAAACAACACAACCCAACGCCACGCTTGCGTAGCTCAGCTCATTCAATGTATGAATGCAATTCGCTCATTTGATAACAAAGCAATTTGGAAGAGCTTTTCTGACGCAGCATGTTTTGAAATAATTGCTGTCACTTTGGAAGCTGGCTATATTCTTCGCTTTTATCTCTTCTCTGCGACATATTGTTTGACTTCACTAGTCAGACGACCATGTGGGCAGGTATGTAAACGCAAACTGTGGAAAGTGCAGTGTGAAATTTATTTTTCAATGGATGCATCGTTTGTCCTTGTCTCCCACCTTCTTGGTGGTCCCGTGGATGGTGGGACCGTAGATAATGGTTTTTAAAACAAAAATACACACACAAAAAAAGACAAGAGTTACTTTTTGGGGAAATGGAGAGCGTGGCACAAAGTAACACTGTTTGCATGGTTTTGAGTTTTGGCCAAATAATGAACAAGTATTTGGTTAGACAAACCATTTGTTTATGACCAACAGCACACAAGCCTCTCCTACAAACGATGAGCCCTGGTTGTATGAAGTATTGCCAAAAATGCCAGGAGTATAAATGTTACTATTTACCCCACCTGTGGGGCAAGTTGTAACAGACAGAGGGTTAGTTGTAACACGTGCTTAAAAATGCAAATTTCACACAATTAATTTAAGTTCAGTTTACTTTAAATAGGAGCTATATTTTAATAGGAGCTATATAAGTACTAAGCTCAATTTATATATATTCTACATTGCAAAGTATGTTTATTTATGGATAAACACAGTTGGATTTATTTGGATTATTATCCATTATTATGCAATGCATGTATTTGTAGTATTAGCAATTAAAAAAAAAATATATATATATTTATATATATATATATATATATATATATATATATTTGCCTATAAAAAATAAATTCTATTAAAAATAATTTATTTAAAAAGTTCTCAAAATTACTCTCAAAATTCAACAATTATTTTGGCATATTGGTCTCCAACACAGTGTGGCCTAATTGTAACACCCTGTTACAACTAACCCCGCTGTGTCGTGTTTTCGTCAAAACTGGCTAGCGGTCACTGTGTGTTTTACATCATTCAAAATGGTTCCATCTTTTAGCCTAGAAGATGGTAATCACAACAATCTAAAATTTTACTTACATATTTCACAGATTTTTTTTAAATAAAAAAATATTGACTATAATAAAAATACTTTTATGCTGCAAAAATGGTTTTTCCTATGTTTCTCATCCAAATTTTGCTGAACTTTTTCAATAACTGGCAGGAAGACATCTGCCGACACTGGGGTGAAAACCTCTGAAGCATGCCATTGTTAACCCTGAGCAAGTACCTTAAAACTCTGTGTTACATTTTACCCAGAGTTGCCCCGCACTCCCCAATATTTCCCCATCTCTTTGGAGAAAATTTAACATTGACTAAATTTGTACATATTTGATATTATAATTTATAGGGGAACATTTTTGTTTTTAAAATAATAAAACTCTGATGTGTTTGCACCAACAACAAGATTAAAAAATAAAAATATGAATATTTTTTGTTACCAATTTTGTAAGTTACATTGCAAAATACACATAATTTTAATTGTGAAACTTCTTTTGGAAAACCAAAAATTGTTCTTGATTACTTTTAGTTTTAAATTTATGCATATGACTTTTTTCTTATTGGCTCCACTCTGTAATGCAATTTGTATATAAAACTGTCAACATTGAGGCTGTCAAAAACATTTGACATTTTTTATAGACACCCACACAAGTATTTTAATCCAAAACCAATGTTATTTAGTGAAAAGCTTTCCTTGCCTTCCAGACTGAAAGAAAAGACTGCAGTGAAAACTTAATAAGATGGAAAGACCATTTTAACAATCTTTAATTTAGAACAGGTCTCAGTTTACCAGACTACGCCCTTAACTAAAAACAAATGTCTTTCAACTTCTGTATTTCTATGCATATTTCACACAAAAAGACCTGATGGTTTCAACCCTGCATGGTCTTTTCAGACTGAGACCACTGAACTATTGTTTAGTCTGTTGTGAATTGCCTTTAATGTGGAAACTGTTATGAGAGAAACTCGTTGTACGTGCGCATGTGCTAAATGTGTATTTGTCCATCTCAGAGGTGGGTTGTTGGGGTGTATTGTTCAGACAGGTGTTCAGGCTAATTTAATTTGTTTACATGAATGAGCACCCTGATCCATCTCTGTCCAAATTACACAATCAAAAAATAATTGTGGTAAAGGCTTAAAACTTTCCATGTAATGTTGTGGTTACTGTTGCATTCATAAGGCTTATCTCATTTCCATCAGTATCCTCACATTGCCAGAGGAAGCCAAATCATGTTTTGCAGTTGGATCAATGCACTATTAGTGTTTATGCTTCTACAATCAAATGCATCATTCTATAGTGCTTAACTCTCATCAAGATTGCATTGATATCCTTAAGTACGTTTCATTTAAATTTCCGCTTTGCTTGAGTCACATACAATAGCCTAGGTACTGGCTGTTAGCCAGAACATATAAAGCTAAACAGAGGCCAGCTGAAGATTCGGAACAGGTGAGCTTCCTCGAGCATAAATTTAGCATGCTGCCTGGAAGTCTTTGAGGAATTGCCAAGAGGATGCAAAAAGAATGAAACAGTTGTGGGACAGGAAAAAAGTAACAACAAAACAAAATTCACCTGTTACAACTTACAACATGTTGCAAGCCACATTTTCTAAAATACTTTACCTTGAAGCATGAACTAAAATAAACAATTAATCCATTTGATAGAGTGTAAGTAATTCTAACAATTATCATAATAATTTAAATATTTAAATTTATTATTATCCATTAACAAACTAGCTACAGTGCTCATCATATAGAAGTACACTCCTCACAAATCTATCTTTTAAATTCATATTTGTATTTTTATTCGTGCATATACAGTAATATAGATTACTTAGTACTTAAGCCAAATCTGGAGCTTATCTAACAAAATAACTTACGACAATGGTCCAAAAACTAGTGTACCCAGATTTATGTTATCAAAAAATTTTAAATACAAGTTTTAAAAAGAGAAAAAATCAAAAGAAAAGAAAAAAAAAACAAAAAAACTTAAACATTTTGTAGGTTGTAATTTCTTTTGCAATATTTTGCTTGAATTAATTGTTTTATCTTTCAATTTCTAAATATGTTTGGTAACTAAAATATTATTTTAATAAAAATATCTGTTTAATTAATCTGTTTTGTTTAAATGCACCAAAACACATTGCCTATTCACTGAGAAATGGATACAAATATTAATTTTTAAAATGGGGTGTGGGCGGCGAATTTAAATTTTTATTTTTTTATTTTTTTTGCTTTATTAACAAGAACCAGCATGTGGTTTTAATATACAACAAAATCACTTCACATTCCTTAACAAATGAAGATTAAATGAGAAAAATAAAAACAATAAATAAATAAAGATAAAACAGAGAAGGCACATAATTATCAAATTACATTTAAATATATTGCACATATTTGTCCAATTTTAGTTATTAACAAGAGTTATTAAATGCACCTTTACTACAGGAAATGCATATATACAAACATTTTTTATGGAAAAATGTCAAGGGAGGAGCATATTAACTGTTTTAATTGCTTAGAAATCCCTTTACATTCCCAATACATTAAATCTCTTTTTCTAGCATCATGACGAAAGATTGGCAGCGCGGTTACACTGTGGCTATCGCCTCACAGCAAGACAAAACACGAAGGTTGGTTTTTCGAGCATATGCTGGATCAGTTGGCATTTCTGTATAGAGTTTGCATGTTCTCTATGTGTTATTGTCGGTTTCCTCCGGTTGCTCCGGTTTCCCCCACAGTCCAAAGACATGCTCTATAGGTGGTGACCACTGATTAATAAAGACACTAAGCAGAAAGAAAATGAATAAATAATAAACATAGGGTGTACTCAATTATGCTAAGCACTGTAAATAATGATAATAACATTATAATAAAACATCAACTGGTACATTCAAATGACAATGTCAATTTTTGCCTAATAACCTAGCCTAAAAAGTGAATTTTAATATGTTAGCAATGCAAAATGTTTTTTTGTTATAGTAACGATATAGCCTAATGGCTAATTCAAAATGTCACCCAACAAAAACTATAGATTAAATAGAGCAAACATACATGTAGCCTATATACATATGTACAAACAAACATTCATATGTATATGCTTCATTTAAATAGGTAATAAATAATGCTAATATGTGTACATTCAGCCTTGTGTAAGGATTTTACAAGTCCTCAATGAAACTTTCGCATGGATATGCTGCTTTGATTTTTCTAAACAACTCTCGTGTAAAAACAAAAACACAAAAGCTTATTCTGTTATTCCAACAGATTTTTTTTGTGTGCATTGCTATTTAAAATGGGAGTGGAAATCCGATGTGTCGCACGTCCGCCATTCACATTGTTGTTGGACAGAAACTTGAGTGATTCACTTTTCCGATCTGCCTCGGGAGGCGTAACTCTCAGCACTATATGAGCAAGTGCAGTCAGAGCGCAGAGGGACAATCACGCCATCCTGTCTCTCGCACGGATATCTACAAGACTTTGACATTTTCTCCAGGCATCGGAATCTCATTACCAAAGGCTTGATTAAACGTCTAGGAGCACCAAAACACATCGTAAGTTCATTTGATCGTTTTGTTCGTGTGTGTTTATTTGCGTGAGAGATTTTGTTTTAAAATGCAGCTGTTTTGCGCTCGTATCGGACCATATACTGTATGATTATACTTCTGTACTTTAAGATGTTTAGAAGATATCAGATTTAAATTAGATCCCAAAGCCAACTTGCTTTGATTCTATACTTTTAAAAGGCACATTTAAAAACAAATTAACCGAGCCTGAATCTCTCAGGAGATGTGTGGATTATCAGTGTGCCATCCCGCGTATTTGTCCCTTTAAATACCATTGTCCAATAATATTACTTCATGAAACATAAGCGAATACGTTTTAAGCTTAGATAATGCAGATATTAAGTGTATTTTACCAGTAGAACCTTGAATATGGTTAGGTAGAATAACTCTTTTTGGTTTGTTTTGAAAAAAAATAAAAATAAAAAAATCATGTGAATCCACTCATGTAAATAATGAGGTTATTATGCTTGAGTTTATATTGTTTTGTGAAATGTTTGTAAATCTGGGACAAAATTTTAATGATGAGCAGTTTTCGTTGCTGTTAAAACTCCTCAGTAAATGTTAAGACCGGCAACTTAAATTATTTTATTTCACACACACACACACACACACACACACACACACGCATACATAGCTTATGATTATTTCTTTCCAGTGCACACAAATCTGAAAGTTTATGTAAAACAATTGATTTACATTTTTATAATTCATCATGGTATCTAGTTTCCATCCAGTATCCAAACAAGGGATTTGTTTTACCCCCAATGCTTTTGTTCCTTTTTTCGCAATTACACTTACAATGAAGATTGCATGCTTTTACCATGGCTGATATTTTCCTTCTATGCTTGCAAAACACTTTGGACTGAGACAATGCTGAGTTTCAAGGAAACTTAGAGACTTCAAGTGAAAGAGACAGGGAGAGAGGGGGAAGGAGGGACTGAATGGAGAGTCGGTGTGTCCGCACAGCTAACTCTTTGTGCGGGCAAGTGTGCTCTCAGCCTGGGGCTGTGAGATCAGGTGAGGGGCCGCTGTGTTTGAGCTGTGTAAATGCAGCAGTTTTACAACAAGGCTAGGGGACGTGATTGTGGTGCTTGGGGCCGTCTGTAATGGACCATCACTTTTTATGGCACCTGATTTTTTTCAATTGCACCTGGTAAGTCAGGTCAGAGGTTTACGCTGCCCTCTCTGTCTCCTTAATCTAATGATGTCAAAGTGGAAAGCTGTAAAATATGTATGTTTCAGAGGAGATTGGGGAATCTTGCAGCACTCTAGATCACAGGATGCATTAAGAGCAGCTGTGTGTCTTCTCATATTTCCTTTAATGATATTAAGGTCAGGCGTTAACCGTGTTCCGGGGTCAAAAACAGCGGGTTGATTTGGAATGAAAATAAACAAGCCTAAACAAACTCTATCTCCTGATGGCTCTTTAGCAAAACACAGCACGCTTGCAGTTGTATTTTTTATGCCAGGCCAATTGTAAGCTGATATTTTGTTTAATCTTTTCAGTCAGTGCTTCAGAAATGACATATTAAGAATGAGCATAACAGTGTTTATCTTTTCTGCTTCACTGTGCAGAGAAATCTTTTTAAAAGCCCACTGAAATGCATCAGTGTTTTCATTACTATGCAAACCCTGGGGGTTGAAGATCAAATATGTGTGATTAGAGACGCATGTGCATCTGTGTTTGAGTAAGTGTAAATGAAAAACTTTGACAGAGCCCCAGTGTGGGTGCTCTCTGTTCTTTTTAGCTTTTGTCAGTTCAAAGCCTGGCATCAAGTCCTCAAGCTGAGCATATCATTTTTGAGAAAAGACCCTTTCACCCCTGTGTGTCGCAGCGGTTGCCCATCCTCCCCTCTGACCTGCCTTACTCCCATTGGGCATCAGTCTTTTTCTAATGCTTTCAGAAGGGCTATACTCTGCTCATTCAGATAACTTCACTGGCCTGTTGCTTGAGCTGAACTTTTTGCATAGCCAAAATGCCTCCCATTTGCCATGGTTATCTGCTTGGATTTTCACTGGGTCAATGCATCTGCCAACAAGCCTTTGCTCAACCATCTGAGTTTTATAGTTTTGCTGCTGGGCATTTAGACCTTATGTTCTGTACAGAAGTACAGCACAGTCTTTGAGCACTGAAGTCTTTGCTTTTTATTAGTTTAGTCTGAAAATATTACATGCAATTAATGAAGTAATATTTACATATTATGTATTACATTATTTAAAATGTGTCCGCTAAATTAGTCATGTGTAGGGCCAGACACAATCAGCAGACATTTTTTGCTATTTCTGCTGAGAATTTTGTAAAAAAATTCTGCAGATTTTGCATAATGATTTTAGGAGTATCATAACTAAAAACGTAATTTAAAAAATAAATATTAATACATTTTTTACTTTTATTTAATATTTACAATGCAAATGCAAATATATTCACTACTTTGGTACACAAACCAAGTCTCATTTAATATATCTACTAAAACACAGAAAATATTACTTTACAAACTGAGTTGTAAAAAAATCATAAGAACATTTTGATATTACCATTGTTATATCACAAAAATATTAGTGAACTTAATCTAAAAACTGTATAAATAATATAAATTTACACACATTTACTCAGGTAAATACATAGACGGTTTCCCCACCATAATGGGATAAAAAACTTTAGAAATGTGCAGATTTCTGCACGCGCAGATCCCATGTGGGCCTAGTCATGTGGTCCAACCATCATATAGACATTAATAATTGTGTCTTGATCCATTAATTTTTTAGAAAAATCTACTTTTTAAAACAAGGCAAAGGTCATTAATATTCTAAAAAGTCCTGTGGTTTGAACAAATGATAATATTTATGAATAACTTAAATTGAAAAAATCTGTACAATCAAAGTGGTTAAATGTTAGCATTTTTATTTGATGTTTACACACATAGGCTTGTCACGATATCTATTTTTTGTTGTATGATATATTGCACTAAAATAAATTGCGATAAACAATATTATTGTCATTTTAAGACCATTTTATGTCACCTACTATATAATGAGATGCGATGCAGTTGCGTAGTAGGTAGTGCTCTCACCTCACAGCAAGGAGGTCAATGGTTCGAGCCTCGGCTGGGTCAGTTGGCATTTCTGTGTGGAGTTTGCATGTTCTTCCTGCGTTCGCGTGGGTTTTCTCCGGGTGCTCCGGTTTCCCCCAAAGACGTGATACAGATGAATTGGGTAGGCTAAATTGTCCGTAGTGTATGAGTGTGTATGGGTGTTTCCCAGAGATGGGTTACCGCTGGAAGGGCATCCGCTGCTTAAAACATATGCAGGATAAGTTGACAGTTCATTCCGCTGTGGCATCCACAGGTTAATAAAGGGACTAAGCCGAAAAGAAAATGAAAAAAATTATATAATGCCAGAATGACAATATAATATCATCACAATGCAAGTACACTCTTACTACCAAAGAACACAATATATTTTATTTTAAAAAATATTTCATTTAATTATAGCAATTTTAACAGTTTAATTAGTAGATATTGGAATCAGAATGTGAAAACGCTGATCCAAACCTCATGATATAATGAAACTTGTTCTCAATACATAGAGTACATTTAAATAAACCTGAAAAGTATATTTTATTTTATTTATTGCAATATATCATCATTCTTTTCATCTTAGATGATTTAAATTTTATACCACCCAGTAACCCTGGGAAATAAACCCATGCACAATAACTATTTAGGAATTGATCCTATTAAATAGTACAAGATCCTACCCCCTGAAGAGAGATCCTGGTGCGCTCGAGATGTTTCAGATTATGTGTGTTTTTAAAATAAACTTTCTTTGTTATCCCTTTTCCGTCCCTCTGTGCTTAATTGGTCCCTGCTTATGTTTTTTATTCTGCCTACATGTCATAACCGCCTCTCTCTTTTGTTTCAGGTCACTGAAGTGTTGACGATAACAAAGACGGACCAAGATGAGTGTGAACGTGAATGATTTCAATGACATTTTGGATGCACTGGGTGAACTGAACTTCTCAACTCTTGACGATAATGTCTCCCATGTGGAAGTGTGCCACAGCACCTTCAGCCAGAGGGCCTTGCTGTACGCCCTCTCTGTGCTCTACATCTTCCTCTTCATCATTGGCCTCGCTGCCAACGCTCTGGTGGTTTGGGTGAACGTGAGAGCCGAGAGGACACGTTATGAGACTCACCTGTACATCCTCAACCTAGCCATCGCTGACCTTTGTGTGGTGGCAACTCTTCCAGTCTCCATTAGTTCTCTGCTTCAGCTCGGCCACTGGCCATTTGGTGGTGCCATGTGCAAGATTACACACCTGATCTTCAGTGTCAACCTCTTCAGCAGTATCTTCTTCCTTACGTGTATGAGTGTGGACCGATATCTCTCTGTGAAACTTTTTGGAGACACTCCCAGTCAGAGGAAGAGAAGAACCAGGCAGATAATCTGCGTTGGAGTTTGGCTGCTGGCTCTCATTGCTGCCCTCCCTGAAATATACTTCCTTCAGGCTGAGAAATCTGACCATTCAGACGCCATCGTCTGCAAAGCAGTTTACCCAGTGGAAAGCATGAAGGAGTGGACGGTTGGCATCCAAATGAGCTTCTTCATGCTTGGCTTTGCCATTCCCTTCCCTGTCATTGCTGTGTTCTACGTCCTCCTGGCTAATACCATCCATCCCTCAGTTGACCAGGAACGTCGAATCAGCCGTCACCTCATCTTCACCTACATTGTAGTCTTCCTAGTGTGTTGGCTGCCCTACCATGGAGCCCTGCTTCTGGACACTCTAGCCTTTCTCAATGTGCTTCCATTCAACTGCACATTGGAGAACGCTCTCTACGCAGCACTGCACCTCACCCAGTGCTTCTCCCTCTTTCACTGCTGTGCGAACCCCATCATCTACAACTTCATCAACAAGAACTACCGATACGACCTCATGAAGGCTTTCATCTTCAAGTACTCCACCAAAACTGGCCTCGCTAGGCTTATCGATGCCTCACACGTGTCTGAGACTGAATACTCAGCCGTGGAAAACCAGGGACCATTATGAACTTTCTTTAATGGTGTTGACCATCACCAACTGTTTAAAGCTCAGAGGTCAACAGGGAACAGTCATGTACATCTCTCTGGACATTTTGGCATCACAAAAATTGATGCTATTTAAAACAGTGGAACAACTTTGTATACAAACCGTTTGCTTACATTTATAAGCAGAAGAATGTTTATGCCTTTTGTACATTTTTACGTCGGATATAGATGAGAAGCACTTGTATTGATTTGATTTGTAAGTGTATTAGCCTTGTAACTGTAGCTAGGCTTTTTTATGTGAAATTGGTGGAAAAGGTCATATGACAGAACCACAAGAGAGACTTATATAACCCTTTCTCCAATTATCTGTGGCTTTCCTACATCTGCCGGAAAGACTCCAACATGCTTAGGCTAAAGAGCATGTTTTGATACTCATTAATGTTTAGTTATGTCTGGTGAAACGGAGGGGGATATTGAAAACCCAAACAACTGGGTGGAGAGAAAAGTGTCCAAATCAAGATTAGATGTAGCTTTTGTAAATCTATGTTACATTGTATGCTTGCTTGCGAGAAATGGAATTTCACGATAAGTTGTGCATTTCAGGAACAATGCTAGCAGCATTTATTTGTAAATGTTTTGTAAATAAAATTATATTTATATACTCACTGTGTAAGTTCAGTGTTTTGGAGTAATGTCTGAAATGTGCCATTTAAATAAAAGATGTATCTTTCAGATGTCTTGAGGAAGTATTTTTTGTTTCATTTCAAAGGATCTCACAAGCACTCACATTTACAAGGAGTTTAATTAATCGTGTCTTTGAAATATGTGTATTTACAATATAGTAGACATAACAGAATAATTTATAATTTAGAGCTGATTTGTTTAATCTAGAGTTATAGAGTCAAACGATTAAGAGACCACTTGAAAGGTCTCTTTACAATATCGTCACCTTAGAATTATAAGGTTTTCTATCTGACATTTTTGTCAAAATTAAGTTATTCACATATTCTTATTAAATCATAACTTATTTACATTATGTGATGTTTTGTTATAAGTTGTTTACATTTTAAGACTTTTTAATTAAAAAAAAAAGGATTTATCTACAAAGTCGAACTCTAGCTTGACCCTATAAGGTTCTTTCTGTGAGCCAATAAGCATTTCTTTGTTATTCCACCAAACTGCTCTGTTGACAGCAGGAAAGACCAGAAAGAAACACAAAATAGTTTCTTCTCAAAATTGAGAAGAAACCTGAAACTGAAAACGTGATGATTTAGAAGCATTTTGGCATAGAGATGAAATGTTAAAATTTACATTGTTAAAAAAGAAACATTCATTCATTCGTTCATTTTCTTTCCAGCTAAGTCCCTTTTTAAATCAGGGGTCCCCACAGCGGAATGAACCATCAACTTATCAAATACATGTTTTTTTACACAGCGGATGCCCTTCCAACTGCAACCCATCTCTGGGAAACATCCATACACACTCATTCATACTCTTATACACTGCGGACAATTTAGCCTACCCATGTCTTTGGACTGTGGAAGGAAACCCACGCGAACGCAGGTAGAACATGCAAACTCAAAAAAAAAATGCCAACTAACTCAGCTGAGGCTCGAACCAGCGACTTTCTGGCTGTGAGCCAACAGCACAATCTACTGCGCCACTGCGTTGCCTTGAAAAAGAAACTGTTATTAAAATATTGTTTATATATGGCGTCACGATGACACAGTGGGTAGCGCTCTCGCCTCACAGCAAGAAGGTTGCTGGTTCGAGCCTCAGCTGGGTGAGCTGGCATTTCTGTGTGGAGTTTGCATGTTCACCCCGTGTTCTTGTGGGTTTTCTCCGGGTGCTCTGGTTTCCCCCATAAATCCAAAGACATGCAGTATAGGTGAATTGGGTTGGCTAAATTGTCCGTAGTGTATGTGTGTGTGTATGGGTGTTTCCCAGTGATGGGTTGCAGCTGGAAAGGCAAAACATATGCTTGGTTAGTTAGCAGTTCATTCTGCTGTGGCGACCCCAGATTATTAAAGGGACTAAGCTGAAAAGAAAATGAATGAATGAATATAGCCAGTGAAAAAAAAAATTAAAGTGTTTGATATTAAGCCTTGAAGGGCAAATGCTTAATTCAATTCATGAGGCATATAATTCAATAAATATAATTCAATAATTCATATAAAGCATATAATTTGCCCTACCCCATTTTTCAAATTGATGAGAATTTTGATAATTTACATTTAGTGTACATTTCGAGTTTCTGTCATGTTAATGTATGAAAGATAACTGATACACACATACTGTTTGCTATATGAAATGCAAAAACTTAATTATGTGTTTGAGTAAAACACATTTTTAGTTTTTTTTTCTTTCTGTAAAATACTGATGACATCTCACTCAAATTTAAATTTAAAATAAACTTAAGATAAACTATATATATACAGCTAAAGTCAAAATTATTAGCGCACCTTTGATTTTTTTCTATTTTAAATATTTCTTAAATGATGTTTAACAGAGCAAGGAAATTTTCATCAATGTCTGATGATATATTTTCTGCTGGATAAAGTCTTATTTATCTTAATTCAGCCAGAATAAAAGCATAAAAAAAAATTAGGACAAAATTATTAGCCCCTTTAAGCTATATAATTTTTGATAGTCTACAGAACAATCCATCATTATACAATAACTTGCCTAATTACCCTAAACTGCTTAATTAATTTAGTTAAGTCTTTAAATGTCACGTTAAGCTGTGTTTGTGTGTGTGTGTATGTATGTATGTATATATATATATATATATATATATATATATATATATATATATATATATATATATATATGTTGAATAAATCAGTTTTGTTCAAATGCACCAAAATGCATTGCCTATATTCACTGAGAAATGGATAAAAATATTAATTTTCAAAATGGGGTGTACTCAGTTATACTGAGCACTGTACATATAGTGGCACACCTTTCGAGCACATCCTTATGTACCACCTTTTACAATTAATCCATCAACTAGTATTAGAAAAAAATGCGAGGAAGAACAAATTTTTAAAAAAGGGTTAACTGAAGAAATTGAAAATACAAAAATACAATAGACTCGATATAGCTCGGTTAAAAAACTGTGTTGTCTCCAACGTCTACAAGTGCAATCTGATCGAACTAATGACATCATGATGTACTGTATTACTGTCGGTAGCCAAAAACTACCAAAGTAAAAGTTTTCAAATTATATTAATTACAAAATTATGCATTTTAGATAACACAATCATTATAAATTATAATTACATTTAAATATCAATTTTCACTATGTTTTAACATTTTTAACTAAATTATCAACACAAATTATGCATAACTGACTTGATTACATGTATTCAGATATGTCTTTAGACCTTACATTCATTTCTAGACAACACAAGGTTTCAAAAAAAGTTAAGAAATCAATATTTGGTGGAAACCGCTGACGTCAGTCTTCTCATTATTTTATAACATGATAATCTGACATAATGATTGATGCTAATAAAAAATAATCCTGGCTAGAAAGTATTATCAAAGCATATTTTGTACTGTACATAGGCATTCATTTGTACAGCCTAAGCATTTCTAAACCCTACGCTTTTATCTTCTTTATTAAGTTTAAGCCTGCTTCAGACTTACACATGATCAAAGTAAAGATGTGGAATTTACAACTCATTTTCAGTGGAAAACTGCCCATATGGCTTATATTGCCATGATGAACAGGCATTATACTGAGCCTCCGGGTATGTTTCATATGGGTACGCTTGTGCTTGCGTTTATATGTGCGAGTGTGTGTCCTTAAATCTCCAGGGGGGTCAGACTCATTCTGTATCTTCAGTGCTTTCAGCTCAGAAAGTAGGGAAGGTTATTTAACCCATACCAACTGTTCTGGGAGCCTAGTTTACTCGTCTACTTCTCCTTTGTAGATTTAAAGAAGTTCCAGGTGTTTGTTTCAAATATACCCCGTGTTGTTCCCTATGACTGGGTTTCTAGACAGTGCAAATTAGAGAAGCCATTATTATAGTTCTCTTGGAAAGTCCTCAGAAAATAACAAGGTTTATTCTCGTCCCGTAAAACAAATGATATGAAGCCCCAATGTATGATTTTCACAAGTACTTTAATGTGTTTTGGAAGGAGGGTAGTAACTTGGGAATCCCCTGCATCATGTTTACTACAGTACATGCATTCAAACCAGTGATTTAAGATGTATTACTCATTACATTTAATGAAAGAACAGAAGGTTCATGTTGCCAAACACATTTTTCTGGTCCTGTCACATTTTTCTGAATTCAATGTACTACATATCTGTCTTTGAGAATTGTGTGATCTACATTATGAGTGTAAAATACTGGAGAAATAAAAATGTGCTTTTTTTTTAGGTCTTTGTAAATGGTTTTCTTACACAAATTGTTTCTCTTGTTTATATTTCATTTGAAAATGATAGAATGTCTTATTAAGGGATAGTTCACCAAAAGTTTTTTAATTCTGCCCACATTTATTCATCCTTTACTTATTCAAACCCTGTTTGAGTTTATTTCTTCTGTTGTTCACAAAATAATATATTTTACACAATTTCTTAACATTTCTAATTTTGACTGTAATGTAATGATGTGCACCTTTTGTGAAGCTGCTTTGAAAAAAAAATATTGTGGAAAACGCTATACCAGTACACTATGGAATTGAATTAGATTGAACATTTAGAAAAATGCTCGAAGCAGTGTGACATGGCTGATGAAGGCGTGTTTTGGCTTAGGGCCTTAGTGTCCCACCAGTGACAATATACAGTTAAATCACACTGTTACACGAGTGATATTGCCTTTATATAACAGTTCAACGGCATAATCTAGTATATAAAAAGAAAATCAAACAAAGAGTCTTAAAATCCTTTTGTATGAGAAACTACTTTCTTCCTTCTTTCATTCTCATCTGCAGCTGACCATCAGAACAGCAAAAATCGTTGCTAAGTCACAAATAGAGCTAGTATTTGAATGATTCTCTAGTGTAATGTCTAAAGTGATGACACAATAGGTGATTTTGCTCACATTTTGAGATTATAAGGCTGAGCGACATGAAATGCCATCAGTCTAAAGACATTTCCAAGTGTTTCTTTGTTGCACTCGGAATATGACAATAATTAACCCTGAAAAAGTCAAAGCAACGCAAACACTACCAGATCGCTATTGTGGAAAAATGTTAAACACATGCGGGCATTTCTTTTTTCTTTCTTTTTACTGAAGTAGTCTGCAGTAACGAAAAAAGAAGACTCATTAGAACAGATGACCAGCCAAAAAGTAACTCTGGGTTATACAAAGAGTGGCCAACACAAAATACATACATTCCTGATATGTGAGTTCCATCGCACAGTCAATACACTACAATTACTATGGTATTAATACAGCACCACAACATACAAAAGAGAGAGATCGACGTAGAATGTCACTTACTAGTTTTATAATGATTTTATCAGATAATTTGATTTGATCAGTGTTTTTCTCCTGTAAGGGCTTATTATGCAGTCGCCATCTTGTGGATGGGTAACATAAGCTGTCTTTGCTTTGCTCAGTATGACAGGCTGATGGTAGGATGGATGTTGCGCTGTATCCCCAAAATTATAAATATTTAAAATAGTCACTATCCTTATAAATAAACTGCATAGTTGCCATCTAAACAACTATATTCTCACCTAAAAAGCCTCAAAAGTACATAATGTTGTCCAACAGCT